CGGCGATAGCAATGTCATCTGCATATAGGGCCAGCATTGTGTGAGCTGTCTTCGGTACGTCATGAGTATAGATGTTGTAGAGCAGGGGGGACTGAGGCTGACTCCTGGAGCACGCCTGCTACCAGCTGTCGTCGTGTTGAATGGCATGTACCAATCCTCACCGCGAACCGTCTTTGTGTTAGATAGCTCTGGATCAGTTGGCACATGTTTGCATCGGCGGTCCTGGCTGCTCTAGGACTCGTTCTTGGTGGCGGCAGCTGGCATCTTTGGCTGCCTTGGCGTCTCGTCTTCGGAGGAGGAAATTCGCACCCGCTTTTTTTTTTCCGTCTGGTGGCGACACTGAAATCGGTGTCGTCGTTGCTTGCTGTCTCTGTCGTGGTCCTATCCTCTTCGGTCCGTTGGGTGTCCTCTTCTTGAGCGTCCATCTCGTCCGACGTAGCCTGGTGGTCCTCTGCCTCGCCTTCTTCGGTCTTCTTTGCGGCCTTCTTCGTGGCCCTGCGGAGCTTCCCGTTCAGGTCCTCGATCTCCTGTTGTGCTTGCAAGAAGGCTTCTTGCAGGTTTCGCATCTGCTCTGCCAGCATGGCGACAGCATCTTTCTTCTCTTTCAGCTGGTTAGCCAGCTTCTCAATTTTCGCCATCGTAAATGACAAACAACCAATCTATCGCAATAAGATTGCTCAATATGTCCGGGTGTGTCGCAGTCGTGCAAGTATACACTCGCAACGGCTGCTAGCTCGGAACTGATGTTGCGCGCACACACACCACACACCCTCCTACCCTGTGCGGTCCCTCCACCACCCCTGTTCCAGGCAACCTCATACCCTTGAGGAGTGGGGGGAAGAGCAATGTGTGAGACAGAGAGAGAGGGGGGGGGGGGAGAGGGAGAGTTAACGTGATTGTCGTTATAGACACTAGCGGCATTGTATGTAAAATTGCGTTGGAATAAAGTTCTATCATTCCGACAGTACCTCTAGAAAGTAACTATCCCTCCAAGGTATCTCCATATAGTCGAGCTCCACAACCCATCGATGCTAGGTAAACATAAAATGTTACGGTAAGTAAGAATTGGTATTATTTGTTGCATTTTCCATGTCACGATCCGTATCGTAGAAACGTAACATCACACTGTATCATGCGGTTATTGGGCTGTTGTTACTTGAATCCCAAACAGCATGAAGGAATATCGGCAAAATATTACGTGATTTTTTTTTTGTTTCCTGATCCGATGATCTCTATTTTTTCTTCAACAAACGAATTGTGTGGCCCTGAGAAGGGCCGATTTCTAGTTTTGACGTTATTTTCTTATTATTATTATTATTTAGGCTTTCTTCTCTGTCTTTTTCGGCAATAGGACAGCCTGAATATTCGGAAGAACTCCGCCTTGGGCGATAGTTACGCCGGAAAGTAACTTGTTTAATTCTTCATCATTCCTGATTGCTAACTGCAGATGACGTGGAATGATCCTGGTTTTTTTATTGTCGCGAGCAGCGTTGCCGGCCAACTCTAACACTTCGGCTGCCAAGTACTCCATAACGGCGGCAAGGTACACAGGAGCTCCGGCACCGACGCGTTCGGCATAGTTTCCTTTACGCAATAATCTGTGTATACGACCTACAGGGAATTGCAAACCGGCCCTACTAGACCTGGATTTTGCCTTTCCTTTCACTTTTCCGCCTTTTCCTCGTCCGGACATGTTTATTTGTTTATTATTTTCTTTTTTGACTTGCGAATCGACGACTACAATCTGCTGTCGTTGACCGAATTAATAGAATAGAATGGCAATGTCTTTAGGTACGAGTATATTTATATAACTACTCCGACCAATCACCGTTTTCGTTTGTCGGTCACCCGTAAGGGGCGGAGTCTATGTCGGTAACGTCGTGGCTGTTAAAGCTCGCCGTTTATCCGCACACCTTTCCATTATAGATCACGATATTGTGTCAGTAAAGATCGTACTTTTTGTGTAAATCGAAACGCGATGCCACCCAAAACTAGCGGTAAAGCAGCTAAAAAGGCCGGTAAGGCTCAAAAAAATATTTCCAAGTCTGATAAGAAAAAGAAACGCAGGAGGAAGGAAAGCTACGCAATTTACATCTACAAAGTGCTGAAGCAGGTACATCCAGATACCGGTATTTCCAGCAAAGCGATGAGCATCATGAACAGCTTCGTCAACGATATTTTCGAACGTATCGCAGCGGAAGCATCCCGATTGGCACATTACAACAAACGTGCCACGATAACTAGCAGAGAAATTCAAACAGCCGTTCGACTATTGCTACCAGGAGAATTGGCCAAGCACGCCGTCAGCGAAGGTACCAAAGCCGTAACCAAGTACACCAGTTCGAAGTAATATGTAACTACGACGACAACAACAACATCAACAACAACTTACAACATAAAAACGGTTCTTTTCAGAACCACTAAAGTTATCAAGTAAAGATAATGATATCACCGTACGCGCAACATATATATTATTGGTACTTGAATACCAGATGATTATTCGTGATATACATACACCACTAAAGCAATAACGTCTGATATAAGACCCGACCGGATTATTTAATGGTAAACGAAAGCGTAAAAAAAGGGGATATCCTTACGACGCAATCGACTGTTTAACGTTCATTCGTTTAATTAAACACAATACATACTTATTTATACCCTTAAAAGCAAATATCGATGGTGACGACGCCTAACATTACCACTTGCTTATAAATACCTAATCGTAAACGAATAATACTCGAATTTAATAAAAAAAAAAAAAAAAAAAACATCAACGCACGTACGAGCCGCAGTTGTACATGTATATTTCGATACAAAATTGCTAATTCGTAAATATTCTGTATCCTTTTTATAGTAATAGTGGTGGCCCTGAAAAGGGCCATTTTCAATCCGCGGGGACGTATAGCATCCTCTCGCATAAATATAACGTCTCGAACCGACGTAGCCGTAATCTACGACGTTGCAACACGTCTAAATTTTTTTTTTTATTTCTTCTTTTTGGGTGAAGCGGCCTTCCTTTTTGGCGATGTTGCAGCCTTCGCCGTTTTCGGTTTTGGTGCTTTTGGCTTCTTGGTCGGAGCTCCCTTGCTGGATTTCTTCGCCTTCGAAGGAGATTTTTTTGCAGCCGCTGCAGAAGGTGCAGCAGAAGAAGCTTTAGCCGACGTCGCCGATTTCCCACTTTTCTTTGTCTTAGCTGGAGAAGCTTTCTTCTCGGCCGCACCACCGGCCACCGCCGGTTTCTTAGCCTTCGGAGATGCCTTCTTCGCAGATTTCGCACCGCTAGCTCTCTTAGCTACGGTTCCGCTCTTCTTTGAGCCGGTCGCGGATTTCTTCTTCTTTTCGCCAACCTTTGCGGCTGACGATGATGAAGTTTTCGACGCTCCGCCAGCCGATGACGAAGCTAGCTTGAACGATCCGGAAGCTCCTTTGCCTTTCGTCTGTACTAAAGCTCCAGACGCGACGGACGATTTTAAGTACCTCTTGATGAAAGGCGCAACTTTCTCAGCGTCTACTTTGTAATTAGCGGCTATGTATTTCTTGATAGCTTGCAGAGACGACCCGCCACGCTCTTTTAATCCTTTAATTGCGTTGATGACCATTTCGCTAGTAGGAGGATGAGACGGCTTCGCCCTCGGATTCTTCGGTTTTTTCTCCTTTTTCGCAGACGACTGCGACGTCGGCGACGCAGAATTCGCGGTAGCCGTAGCCGACGCGGCGTAATTCTGGTTTTCCGTATCTGCCATGTTTACGAGTCGTGAAGAGGAGACAGATTATTGTATACGCGCGATCTTTTGCAATCACTGATCGACGATCTCGCTAAGAGAACGAATGTCGAATGAATGTGAGAGGTAAATTCAGCGTCGTGACCCAAGTCATTTCGGTCGGACCGAACATTGAACGCTCCGACTTTGCAGCGAAACCGATTTCGACGGCTTCAATTCTGCCAAGCCTGCGGTCGTATCTGTTGGTTTTTTGAGTCGCTGATATAATTGCATACGAGCAACAGCTAAAACCTGAACGAATATGAAATCTGCATAATTTGAAATACACATTTAACTTCGCGACTTGATCACGTACGCTACGTACACGATAAAATTATAAGGTGAAACGTGCAAGGTATCCGCTTTGGACCTAATCGTCCGGCTTTTTGATCTAATTTATATTATACGAATACGTTATATAATTAGATATTTCATGAAATTAACAATCTACGACTATTCGTAATACAATTATACTGTCGGTATACGGCTAATGGATAAGGTATTTTAGATAATCGCAATTATACGGAGGTATGTCTGGCGTACATCCGAACGTGCACAGTCGCGAAATATATCGCGATAATTTTAACATTACTCCTGTAATATGACAAAATAGATAATAATATGAGACATCAATCTATTATTCGTAATAAATAAGCCAGAGTAGAAAAATATTATATATAATATACGAGCGATCGAGTTATAAATTCATCTCTTACTACATATTAATTATTAGACGTACGCATTACTGACTTTTGATCTACGTGAAAGTACCTAATGTTACGTATTACACGCTAACAGCCTGCCTAAACGCCTAAGCAATATATACGGCAAAATATCTATATTATGTCGAATTATCTACATTATAATCACATGCTACTTATAAGTTATTTTACTTCCATACACATACATACAATTCGTACGTTATTAGAATAATATCAATGTAACGGTTTACTACAAAGCACCACAATCCTTCGATATAGGATAACGGGTAATAACTAGCGACTATCGTATAACCATTTAGCGCTATTTTGCATACACGATAATAGTGTCGAAATTGCACGCGTACAAACAACAATCTGATATACTTAACATAATACACGATCCCCTTTTTCTGAACATACTATATGATGGTTCTGAAAAGAACCGTTTTTTTTTTTATAACCTATTATCGCACGCCGTACTCTCTCTCTCTCTCTCTCTCTCTCTTTCCGGCAAATAGTAAATCCGTCAATTCCATTAGGCACGTTCGCCCCTAATACGTCTTGCCAGCTGTATATCTTTCGGCATGATCGTTACTCGCTTAGCGTGGATCGCGCACAAGTTCGTATCCTCGAATAGTCCGACCAGGTACGCTTCGCTAGCTTCTTGGAGTGCCATTACAGCAGAACTTTGGAATCGCAAATCGGTCTTGAAATCTTGCGCTATTTCACGGACCAGCCGTTGGAAAGGCAATTTTCTGATCAACAATTCGGTACTTTTCTGATAACGACGAATTTCTCTGAGAGCCACAGTTCCCGGACGATAACGGTGAGGTTTCTTAACTCCGCCAGTAGCAGGAGCACTTTTACGGGCAGCCTTCGTGGCTAATTGCTTCCTGGGAGCTTTACCTCCGGTGGATTTACGAGCCGTCTGCTTGGTACGCGCCATTACGTTAAATTTCAGATAACTGAATATAAATTATCTATATAGCAGCGACGTGAATATTGCAACGGACAATATTATAGTGAGCGGAGGTAAACACCGCGAACAGTTATATTTATATGGGCTCGAAATACGAAACAGTCTGATTGGCCAATTGATAGACCAATAGGAGGGACGACAACGCTAACAAAACCGGGCGTCACGAGAGACGTACCGTCAGTTGGCAACAGCCCGTTCGCTTTAACAGTTCGACGTGCGAGAGAATCTTGAAAAATGACTGGACGCGGTAAAGGTGGTAAAGGATTGGGAAAAGGAGGAGCGAAAAGGCATCGTAAAGTTTTGAGGGATAACATCCAGGGAATTACGAAACCGGCCATAAGAAGATTGGCGCGACGTGGAGGAGTAAAACGTATATCCGGATTGATTTACGAAGAAACTCGAGGAGTGCTCAAAGTCTTTTTAGAGAACGTAATCAGGGATGCAGTCACTTACACCGAGCACGCTAAAAGGAAGACAGTCACTGCAATGGACGTCGTATATGCATTAAAGAGACAAGGACGCACTTTGTACGGATTCGGTGGTTAAACACTCCGCAGCAATTACCACGGTACAGGTTGAACGAAAATACAATACAAAGAAAAAAAAAACGGTTCTTTTCAGAACCACCATATACTCTCGTGAGAAAGAATGGATCTGCCGATTGAACCGCCACATTAATTTTCTATTTTTTTTTATACAAAATAAAAAGAAACACTCACATAAATGAGTTTATCGGAATATGAGAAATTGATCGACTTATACGTTTTGGCTCTTTGAATTACAATAATCGACGATTTCGGTCCCGATATGTCCCATTATCGAGATACCGGCGAATATTAGACGTGAATGCGACGATGAGATGCCTCGATTAAATAATTTAGTTATTGCCAACTTCTCGCGCCACAACCGATCCGATATCACCCTGAGAAAATTTTTCCATATACAAATGATAATCCCTTCATTTTCTTATTAAATTACTTGTTGGCCCTGAGAAGGGCCGATTGTATGTTCAGAAGATTTTTTTTTTTAGGCTTTCTTCTCCGTCTTTTTCGGCAAAAGAACAGCTTGGATATTAGGGAGAACTCCTCCTTGGGCAATTGTGACGCCTGAAAGCAATTTGTTCAATTCTTCGTCGTTTCTGATGGCCAATTGCAGATGACGTGGAATAATACGGGTCTTTTTATTGTCGCGAGCAGCGTTGCCTGCCAATTCCAAAACTTCAGCGGCCAAGTATTCCATAACGGCCGCTAGATATACGGGAGCTCCGGCACCGACGCGTTCAGCATAATTCCCTTTTCGCAATAACCTGTGGATACGACCGACGGGAAATTGTAGGCCGGCCCTGCTGGATCGGGACTTTGCCTTTCCCTTAACTTTACCGCCTTTTCCGCGTCCTGACATATTCAATTTGTTAATCTGCTAAACGAACGACGTCGACTATGAACTTGCAAATGCACAACATGATCTCCGCGAACGTTGTATTTATATGAACTAACCGACCAATCGACGCGAACGTTTGCCGGCAAACGCCTGGGGGCGGAGTCTACGGTCGTAACGTCACCTGTCTTAAATACGGCCAGAGAATTGCAGTCGTTCCGCCGCTCCCCCGATTCGCAGTGCAGCAGCCGACCAGTGAACCACGCCGAGGATAGTGAGACCGAACGCGACACACGACCACGCGACACGCGACCACGCGACACGCGACAAGCGACCACGCGACACGCGCGCGACCGAGACGCGACCGACGCGCGGAGACGCGGAACAAGCGCCGGCACGCGAGGGTGACGCCCACCCAAAGGCAAAGCCTAAATCGGGCGTACCGAAAAACCTTTACACAGTTTCCACTCGTCGGAAATTGTGTAAAAGGGGAACATCGCGAAAAAGGACGCAAACAAAAACCCGCGAAGTGCAGTGAGCCCGAAAGGGCACCAGTGCACAAAAATTACACAATTTCCAGCGCGCGCGGCACAACTGGAAATTGTGTAAAAGTCGAACTTTGCGAAAAGTCGACAGCGAAGGAGAAATGTCGGACGAGGAGAGCGAGGTAGAGCGGGACACGCTCAAAACCGTGGAGAAAATGCTGGACGACGAAGAGAACGTCTACTCATCGTCCAGCGAAGACGAAGAGGGTGACCGAGAAGGGGGCTTTCTCAGGAAACTGAGAAAAGAGAATGACGCCCTTAAGAAGCAGATAGCCGAGCTATCTTGCCAGCTGACGGATCTAACCCGCCAGCTGATAGAAGAAAGAAGGGCAAGCGCCGAAGAGCGCGAAAGAACTGCCAGGCTGATTGAGAAACTGGCAGCAAAACAGGGCATCGAGATCGATGCCCCCAAGGAAAAGGCTCAGAGCCAAAAGAAAGAGAAGAGGAGGCATAGTACCTCCTCAGATGAAGGCAAGAAAGAAGAAGCCCCCAGGAAAAAGGCACTCAAACACGAGCAAGCGTCCACATCGGCAACTAAGACCCCGGCCGAAGTGGAAAAGATGGACCAGTCCTCCACGCCCAAACCCTCGACGGAGGGAAACAAGAAAAAGGAAAAGAGGCCCCCACCACTGTACATCCATAGGGAAGAACAGTGGAAAGAGGTAGTGAGCAAGAAGTTGCTCACAATTGAAAAGCCTGCACGGCTAACCGGAGTAGGCATTAAAGTCCAGCCGAAGGACAGCGATGACTATAGAAAGATCCGCAAAACGCTCGAAGATGCTAAGATAGAGCATCATACCTACTCCCTACCGGAAGATAAGCCACTGGGAGTGGTAATAAGGGGAATACCGAGAATAACCACCTGCCAAGAGATCGCAGAAGACTTGGCCAGGCAAGGCTTCCACCCAAAGACGGTGAACAGGATGACCAGCAGGAGGACTGGAAAAACCATACCGCTGGTAAAAGTAGATCTCCCGAAGGAAGAGACGGGGATCTACAAAATAAACGCCGTTTGCCACATGGTGATCCAAGTGGAGGCACTAAAGAAGAAGACAGGACCAGGTCAGTGCTACCGATGCCAACAATTTGGCCACAGCCAGATGAACTGCACGGGAGAGCCGCGCTGCGTCAGATGCGCAGGAAAACACAGAGCGGCGGACTGCAAGGTCCCAAATGAAAAACCCGCGAAATGTATCAACTGCGGGGGAGAGCATCCCGCAAACTTTGGAGGATGCCCAAAGAGGCCGAGTGCAGGGCCAAGGGACAAAAAGACGGCACCAAGGGGCACAGCGCGAGCAGCGCCAGCACCCAAAACCATAACTAGGCCTAGTCCAGTCCAGGAGGGCCGTAGTTATGCGTCGACGACAGCTGGGGCAACTAAAGTGGCCCCAGTCGCTCAGGCCAGCAGTGCCAAAGACAGCGACGTCGAGGAGTTGACCGATTTCGCCACCAAGCACGCATCACAAATGATGTCACTGGTGATGAAGAACCCGGCGGCCAAAAAGGCGTATTTCGCTCATCTGGAGCAAAAATACGCCTAAACAGAGGGAAGCACTGACCAAAACTCCAAATGGGCACTCCAATAACCATTGCAAATAGGGGCCTGAAGATATTGAGTTGGAACGTCCACAGCGTCTCCAACAAGAAATATGAGATAGGCGAAGTCCTAACAAAAGGAAACTATGATGTAATGGCATTACAAGAAACGTGGCTCTCTGGGGAAATCCCACACTGGACGATACAGGGATACACGACATACAGAAAGGACCGGAACAGAACCGGAGGTGGGGTGCTACTTGCTGTCAAGACCAGCATTACCCACTGGGAACTGGGACTGCCAGAACTAAGATCAGCAGAGGCCGTAGGAGTGACGGTACGCACAACAGACCACGGCCCTCTGAACATCGTTTCGATGTACGTACCACCCACATCGACGATATATCTGGAAGATGTCACCTGTATCACTGCACTGGGAAACAGTACCGTGATCGTAGGTGATCTAAACGCGAAGTCCACCATTTGGGGCTCAAGAAACAGAAACAGTCACGGCGCTGTTCTGGAAAGACTAATGGATGAACCTGGATATACCATGATAGGTCCGGACGAACCTACAATATACCCCAGCAACGGAGGTAGACCAGACGTCATAGACATGGCGATTCTGAAGGAAATCGACATGCGCACCACCATCGGCGCCATGCAAGAGGGAAGCTCAGACCACAATCCCATCTTTCTCTGTATGGGAGATGGGATAACACCTGTGGAACAAAGAACAGTGAAGAGAGTGAATTGGCAGCGGTTTAGAACCAGACTGCACTATTCACAAGGACCACTACTACAGATCGAAAGCCCCGAAGGCATAGAAGAAGCGGTCACGGACCTAGAAAGGAAGATTAAGGCTGCGTTAGAAGCCGCAACCACCGTGGAAGACATAACGCAACCAAACAGGTTCAGGGACCTACCTGACGAGGTAAATCGCAAGATCACCGAAAGAAACAGAGCCCGAAGAGTAGCCCAGGAGACCAGAAGCCCCACGGACATCATGGTGGCAAACAGACTTACGAGACAGGCACGAGACGCCCTGAAGCAGCACCATCAGAGCACCTGGGATAAGAAACTCGACGAACTATCTCCAGCTGACCCAGGAATGTGGAACTTGGCTAAAATCCTCAGAAACAGAAGACAGCCCATCCCCCCAATACACAGCGAACAGGGGATGGTGTACACAACCGAAGAGAAGGCAGAAGCTTTTGCTGACAACCTTCAGAGACAGTGTACTCTCAATACTCACCCCGATGAAGACGAAGACTTCATCGACGAGGTGATGAGAAGATCGAGGAGAGCTGTCAGAGGAGGAAGAGCCATCGAAGACATGACCTCTCCAGGCGAGGTAAGGGAAATCATCGAAAGACTCAAGGTGAAGAAAGCACCGGGTGTAGACGAAATTGGGAACAGAGTCCTGAAGAGACTCCCGAGGAAAACGATAATGGCA